TGTTGTCACTATTTGTGCCTGTTGCCTTGCTATCTGGCCCTCCAGAATATTTCCCTCTCTTAGAATTCCAAGTGCCAGGAAGGAATTAGAAAGCACAGCCATTGGGGCAAGAAGCCTATGTACCATGAGTATGTGCAAGTGAGCAAGGGCCATTTATCAGATGCTTGGGAGTCAGGCTTCAGTCTCTTCTCTCCAGGAGCTTAGTGAGGGAGACTGCATGTCATAAATAAATGTACATGTGCTCTAGAGGAGGGAACTCAGTTGCTACAGGGTAAATGAGATGTAACATCTAGTAAGATACAGACTGACAGGGAGTCACTTTAGTTAGTAAATAAGGGACCATAAGAGAGAGAGCAGTTTCAGTGAGATGATGGAGAGAAAAAATTGAGAGGCTGAAGGGGAAGGAGCCTATTAAAAGAAAGATGAAGCTAAAGAACCTTTCAGAGGCAGAGTGGGAGATCCAGAGCTTAGGGAGAGGGAAGAACCTTGGGCAAGCCCTGGCTGGTTTGACTCAGCGGTTAAAGCGTCAGCCTGCAGTCCAGAGAGACCCGGGTTCAATTCCCGCTAAGGGCATGTACCTTGGTTGCAGTTTGTCCCCGGTCCTGGTTGGTCCTGTGGGTGGCAGCCACTCAATGTGTCCCTTTCACGTCGATGTCTCTCTCTCTCTTTCCCTCTCTCTCCCTCCCACTCTACCTGAACAAAAAATGGAAAAATGTCCTCGGGTGAGGATAAAAAAAAAAAAAAAGAACCTTTGGCAAGAAGGGGAACAGCCACTTTCCTCCAAGATGGAAAGGGAGTGAGAGGCAGAAGGGAGGGAGACAAGATATAATATAGTCATGTCTTCTGGATAGAGAGGAAAGTTGAAGGAATGCATGGCCTCTGCTCCCTGTGTGAAGTGGAACCAAGGGCTTGAGATTTGGCATGGCAACTTGAGAGCATAGCTGAGGGTGCCACAAGGCACACTTCAGAGAAGTGCCCTTGTCAGTCCCCGGTGGGAGTGGTCCTGGACTTTATCCAGCAGTCAGTAGCCTGGTGTCTCAGAGTGGAGAAGACAGACAGATTCATCCAGGATTGGAGTAAGAAGGCAAAGAAGTTAGGATTCTCGATAATGGGATCATTGAATTGGGTCCCAGCTGGGAGGTGAAAACAGGAGGGGCTTGAGAACTGGCCAAAAATAGGAAGTGGCCAGGTCCTGGTACCTTGGTGAGACCCATGTGCAGGGACAGAGAGATTGTGTGTGTATGGAAGCCTTTCCCCCTTCCCACTGAGGGCTCAGGCTCAGCTGAGTTGCCCAGGGACTTGCTCAGGAACCTGTTACATCAAATTCTCTCTTACAGGGCTGGTGAAAGCTGTTAACACTGCAGTGGACCTCATTGTGGCCCATTTTGGCACAAGCCGGGATCCTGGGGTGAAGGTAGGCAAGGAACTATGGAGAGCTAAGCTCTACCCTGCTGACCCTCACTTTCCCTATGCTGCCACCCTGCCTTGCTCTCTTGCATCTAGAACCCAGGGTTGGTACTTAGGGATGGGAATCACAACAAAAGTACCATGAGTGCTAAGAGGGTCAGAGAGGACCAGGGTTGGACTTCAAATGATTCCCTATACTTCCCTACTGCATACACAGGCAAAGCTGGGGAACAGTTCTGTTAGCCCCAATGTAGGCCACCTGGTTCTGAAGTACTTGTGCCCCGCGGTCCGGGCTGTGCTGGAGGATGGGCTCAAGGCCTTTGTGCTCGACGTCATCATTGGGCAACGTAAGAATATGCCATGGAGTGTGGTTGAGGCTTCTACACAACTAGGTAAGTGCTGGGTGCAAGATGGGGATCCTGGAGTGAATTTAGGGTTCCAGAGATTGGACATGTGACCTCCAACTCTGGCTTCCTCCCAGGTCCATCCACCAAGGTCCTGCATGGCCTCTACAACAAAGTCAGCCAATTCCCAGAGCTCACCAGTCACACCATGCGCTTCAACGCCTTTATCCTCGGCCTGCTGAAGTAAGTGTGTGATGATGCAGAAAGATTTGCGAGCCACCAGCCCTCTCCCTGGGCTCTGCTGCCTCTGAGGAAGCAACTCCTTAGACAGACAGAAAGGGGATCTATAGGATCTGTGGCCAGGGCCAAGGCTCACTTCCTCTCCACCTAGCTACAGCCTCTCAGTAGGTCAGTGGTTTCTCACCACACTCATAGCCCGCTAGCACTGACACCATCATGGTCTTTTGCTTTTGTAAATCCACAGTCTGGCTTATTTGGACATTAATTTGGTTCTCAGTTTCTCTGGATATTTCTCTGATCCTCTCAATTCAGCATTGCTTCCAAATCCTGCTTGACCTTAAGTCCACCTGGGAACCCATGTCATCATATTCTTCTTTCTCAAGTGTGGGACCAGGTCATCCCCTGGCTCTGTACTGTCACTCAATAGCTGCTCTGACAACCTGGGTCTTGTGCAAGATGCCTCCATTTTAGGAGGAAGTGATTGGTTGTGAATCACATGTTCACCCTCTGTTTACATTCCACTGACTTTTCAGAACTATATGACATGAAATGAACCAGGTAGCATCCCTGCCATAGAAGGGGGATGTTCACCTATGGTCTGCCCTATATCTGACCCATGTGTCTGTCTCTGTACCTTAGTATCTATGTCCATGTAAGACTCATCTCTCTTCACCTATTTCCCTACAGCATCCGGTCCCTGGAGTTCTGGTTTAATCACCTCTATAACCATGAAGGTAATGCCCAGAACCCTGCCCTGTCTTGCAAACTCAACATAGACCAGACTTCACAGGCTCAAAAGAGGGAGGCATGGCTGTCTTTTCAGATGCTAGAGGTGGAAAAGGGAACCACACAAGGTTTCATCCTCAAACTTGGGCTTCTACCCAAGTCCTTCCCCAGCTTCTGCTATGTTAGAGCCTCGCAGTCAGCAGGATACTCAGGCAATCCAGAAGTCAGGGTGACCAGGAAGCCCAGCACTTCTTTCCTCTGAACTCGGGGCTGCCAATTAAGGTCGTAGAGTTAATGCACTGCACAGCCGCAGGCATCGCCTACACTGCACCCCTCTGCATGGCACAGTGCCCAGCCTGTGCAGCATGATGCAGTAGCTCTGCCCAGGCTGCCCTTCAAAGGCCCACCCCTGTGTGGCTCAGTCTCTCTCTCTTTCTCCCCTAGATATTATCCAGACCCACTACCAGCCATGGGGCTTCCTGAGTGCAGCACATACGGTGTGCCCTGGCCTCTTTGAGGAGCTGCTGCTGCTGCTGCAGCCCCTGGCCCTGCTGCCCTTCAGCCTTGACTTGCTGTTCCAGCACCGGCTGCTGCAAAGTGGGCAGCAGCAGCGGCAGCACAAGGAACTGCTGCGCGTGTCCCAGGACCTACTGCTGTCTGCCCACTCAACGCTGCAGTTGGCCCGGGCCCGGGGCCAGGAGGACAGGGCAGCCCATGGGGAACGGGTGAAAGGTGTGGGCGCCCCAGAAGGTGGAGAAGATGAGGAGGAAGAAGAGGAGACAGAAGAGGTGGCAGAGGCAGCTGGGGGCTCAGGGTGTGGAAGGACCCGAAGTGGGCAGGCTGGCTGGTGGCACCAGCTCATGCAGAGCTCCCAGGTCTACATAGATGGCTCCACAGAGGGCTCTAGGTTCCCCCGTGGTGGCAATAATAGCTGCAGTGGCAGCAGCAATGAGAAAAAGAAAGGGGCAGGAGGTGGGGGGCCACCCCCCCGGGAGGGAGTAGTGGAGGGAGCTGAGGCCTGCCCTGCCCCTGAGGAGACCTTTGGCCAGGACAGGGGCTGGCCCTTCTGGATGGGGAGCCCCCCTGATTCTGTGCTGGCTGAGCTGAGACAAAGTCGGGAGAGAGAGGGGTCTACTGCCCCCCGAGCAGAAAATGAGGAAGGAGCCTCCGGGCCTTCACCTGGGGGCATCAAGTGGGGACACCTCTTTGGGTCTCGAAAGGCTCAGCGCGAGGTCCGGCCCACAAACAGGTGAGAGGCAGCTCATGGTGTAGACGGAGGGAGTTGGGGAGCCTGGCCTAAGCCAGGGCACAGTCAGAGCCCCGACTGCTATCCCCTAGGCTACCCTCGGACTGGCTGAGTCTGGACAAGTCCATGTTCCAACTAGTGGCGCAGACAGTGGGTGCCCGCCGGGAACCAGGGCCCAAGGAGAGCCTGCAGGAACCACACTCTCCAGCCCTGCCCTCCAAGCCCCCGTGGTGAGCCCTGGGAGACTGAAGAACTGAGGGGCTGGGTTTGGTTTTGGGTGGGGTTTCTCTGACCTCCATTTGTTGTTTCTCCAGCGAGGTAAAGGCACTGTGCCACCATCTGGCCACAGGCCCTGGACAGCTGAGCTTCCACAAGGGAGATATCCTTCGAGTGCTGGGGCCGGCTGGAGGAGACTGGCTGCGCTGCAGCCGTGGCCCTGACACTGGCCTGGTGCCTCTGGCCTACGTGACCTTGACCCCAGCTCCAAGTCCAACTCCTGGAAGCAGCCAGAACTGAGGCCCTGTGCATGCTGGTGGCCTCAAGGACCCAGACTCAGAGCCTGAGAGACCTTCCCAAGCCCTCTGGCTTGGCTACAGAGAGCAGACTGAGAGCTGGGGCCACATATCCCTGTGCTCAGTGTTAATTACTCCCCCTTAACTGTCCCATGACCTTGTCCAGACCTTTATCCACCCAGGAAAGGAGGGAAGGGATGCAGCCCTGAGCTGCCAGGACTTCCCCAGCCCATCTGGACCAGCCCTTCCATGGGTGCAGGCAAGAATGGATAGAGGTGACCAGAAGGCCCATTTGCAGGGTAGTGAGGATGATGGGTGACAGTATAAGGAGCCAGATCCCTAAGCTCCCAGATGTAAATAGGCTGTGGCCAATGCCTGGTGGTCAGAAGAGAGGAGGAGCCCAGGCTTCTGTTTATGTATGTATTTCTTTATTTATTTATTTATTATACCTATTAATAAAAAAGGTGCTTGGCCTCCAAACCATTTTCTCTTTTGCCTCCCCCTGCCCTCCAAGCCATCTCTCTTTCTTCCTAAAGGATGGCTGGGATAGATGAAAAAAGAAGCGAGAACTTGAAATCCAGGTACCTATGCCACAAGCTGCTTCTGGAAGGTGCTGAGGCCCAGAGCATCATGGGTGAGATGCCCATATGTGTGGCCAAACTGGAACTTATACCCTGTGTGGCCAAGAGAGTCTGTCACATGTAGTCAGTGGCATGGAAAAGCCGTTTATTTCTCAGCCAGTTGCCCAGACCCTCCAAGCTGCCCTCCAAAATCTGGTCCTAATTCCCTACTATGAGCTACCTCGGTTTCCTTTTCTCTCCAGTGATAAAACTGAACTACATGATCTGTGATCCCCCATATCTATTCCAACCCCCCAAACCACCTCTACCTATCATACACACTCTCTCTCGCTCTCTCTCTCTCTCTCCCTCTCTCTGGGGCCATCCTCACCTGGTACATAGCCCCCATAGTTAGGTAAAAGGCCCAGGTTCTGAGGGTAGGTCCTTGAAAGTGGGGGGAGATGGTCGAGACCCTTCTGGGCTTTGCCCTGTGAGTACATCTGTCCAAATTCCTGCAGTGCCCGGTTGGTGAGCACAGGAAAGCTGGAGCCGAAGAGGAAGCGAGCACGGGGCACATAACCAGTGAAACCTGGGGGTGTGGGGATACTGGGTCAGGACCTCCTGGGGGCCTCCCCACACCTTTAGTCATTACCCACTTCCCTCACCTGACATGAAGAACTTGTGAGGATCTCTGTCGTCCATTGAATAGGGTGAAGCCTTGGGAGGGAAGTTGACAGAAGAAAAATGGGACTATCACACTTAGCCCCTGTGCTCTAACACAAGCTCCCAGAGGGTGGAGCTGGCAGTCAAGCCCATGTCCCCAGCCTACACAGCTGTAGGGCTCCCCACTCCCACCACACTGCACTCTCCCCCCACTCCCACCCCAGCCTTCTCAGTCTCACTTGTCCTACCTCCTGCCCCAGCTCTGGCTCCTCCGCCTCCAGCTCTGGCTCCGGCTTTGGCTCTTGGTGGTCTTTCTCCAGGTCTTCTCCCTTGACCTCCTTTGGCAGCTTCTGACTCCCTTGTTCCCCATGCCACTGAGTAAAATTGTTCAGAGCCTCAGTCCAGACTTGGCTGCAGTTCTTGGCAAAGATGAACTGTGCCTGGGGGACAAAACCTGGGTGGGAAGGGGAGAAGGAAGTTCTCTGTTAGTGTTTGGGGTACACATTCAGGGATGGGGCACCTGTTCATATTTGTGTACATACCTGTGTACCCAGGGATCATGCTGGAACTGAGCCTTTTGTGCCCACGCCTGACAGGCAGGCTTCCCCTAGGAATCTCGGGAGATCTTGGAGGCCGAATGGGAGGCAGAAGTATGCGACGCACCGGGGGCCAGGCTAGGCCAGGAGCTCCTCGGAGTAGCTGACCGGTCATCTGCCCATAGGTCTGGCCCATGCTGAACCGAAGTAGTGGGCAGTGTCCAGTGTACCTGTAGCACAGGACTCACCCACTCATCTCTAGAATCCCCCTGCCTCACCCTCCCCAGAGACAGAAGCAGAGACCTCTGAAGCCCTGATCTTTTCTGAACTCAGCTTCTTGTATAATTGGAGCAGGCATTTCTCAGTTCTCCATTTTCAACCCTTTCCCTCTACTGTTACCCTGTTACCATGGAAAAGACAACACAAAGCTTTGTGGCAAGCCCAGCTACCACTATGCCTTGCTTTTCATTTTCTATCCAACACCATAGACATTCCAGCCCTGGGCCTCCTGTACAGGTATGTCCACTTGGCCCCCAAAGTCTAGGTGGCACAACTATCCCTGTACCCCTAGTCCCAGAAGCAAGCAGGGCTGTGCTCTGGGTAGAAGTCTTACCCTGGGATATAATGAGGATTCTGAGGGTTCAGCCCCGGTATGAAGGTGCTGGCCATAGCCATGGGAACACAGGCAGTTCCGTTTGTTTCCCTTTGAGCAGAGGCTCTGGGCTGTTTACACTGTGTCCAGGGCTGTGGGGCGGAGCCAGAGGCAGGGGCGGGGCTAAGGGAGGAGAGAGGGGAAGGGGCACTAGCGTGAATGACTGCCAGGGCCAAAGCCAGTGCATCTGGAGAGCAGAGGCTCACAGGTCTCTCCACCCCAGAGGAAATGCAGTCTTGCCCCCTGGAGTCATAGAAGAGTCTCAGTACTGCCTCCCACTCCAAGGAATTCCTGAGGGGGGATGTGGAAGAGCAAAAATTGTTAGGTCTATTCAGCTTTATCTCAAAAGAGGACACTTTTTAAAAATATATATGTTGTTACTGATTTTAGAGAGAGATGAAGGGACAGGGAGAGAGAGAGAAAGAGACATAAATGAGAGAGCAAAACATTGATGGGCTGCCTCCTGCATGTCTCCTACTGGGGATCAAGCCTGGAACCCCAACATGTGCCCCGACTGAGATTCGAATTGGTGACCCCTCGATGCATGGGATGAGGCTCAACCAACAGCCATACCAGCCAGGGCAGGACCCTTCCTTCTTAAGGCCTCATCTGAGCAGCTGCCTGAGGAGATGTGGATTCTGCTCCTTGTGAGTCATGATTAAATGTGATGGAGTTCCTTGGAAAAAGAGAGTGTCTAAGGGGAGCCCAGAGGGGAGGTGACAGGGGAAAAAAGGAAACTAGAGACCTCTAGGCAGTGACATTGTGAGTTTTCAATAGTATAACTTGACACTTATTTATTGAATACCTACTATAATCTAGATCATCATCCATTCAACAATATGCCACTCTCTGCTAGGCACACTTCATGGTGGCAGAATGCGTACTATGTAGGAGTAAGAAAACCTAAGCTTTATGTGATTTTGGGCAAGTCATTTACTATCTCTAACCCTCATTGCCATTTATAAAATGCAGATACTACTACTCACCCTGCTGTTGTTGTGAGCCTCAAATTCTTGTATGCAAATGTTTTTTGTAACAGTAAAGGCCATGAGCCCGGCTGGTATGGCTCAGTGGATGAGCATTGACCCATGCACCAAGAGGTCACCAGTTCGATTCCTGGTCAGGGCACATACCCGGGTCGCAGGCCAGTCCCCAATGGGGGTATGCAAGAGGCAGCCAACTGATGTTCTCTCTCATGAATGTTTCTATCTCTCTCTCTCCCTCTCTAAAAAATCAATAAAGAAAAAAAATAAAGACCATGAAGCCAGAGGGGGAAAGAGTACAGGCATAAAGTCCAGCAGTCATGACTCCTAATAGCTTGTTCCCTTGAGCTGACTTAACTTCTTCTGAACCTGAATTCTCTAAACTCTAATGTGAAGGTTAATATAATGTAACCTACAAGGTGCTGTTAAGGATAGTCAGATAGTGTATGTAAAAGAACTCGGCACACAGCTACTAAAATTTAATTTTCTTCCCTATTGTCTGGTATTGTCTCTAAGTTTCTAATACATATGGAAATCAATGAATAGTTAGTAAAGTCAGTGGATACAAGTTGTTGTTATTGTTTTGTTTTTTTACTGTGGGGATTAAAGGAAAAGAGATATGAGGGTAATGTTGGGATTTAAGACTAGGGGGCAAATTAAAATATGTTAAGAAAAGAATTCAGATTCTAAGAGAAATAGAGACCCAGAGGAAGGGATCTCAGAGAGGTTGGAGAGCATGATTAGAGCTCAGCTCTGGGGTCCATCAAGGCCAGGCCAGTCTGCCTTTCCAGGATTCTCTGCCTTTCTCCTCTACCCCAGACTGTGACAGTGCCTCGTGTGACTAAGCCCACATCACTGACTTCTCAGGAACTGCACAAGAGCACTGGGTCCCAAGGAATACCTCTCATGTTCCCCACTGTTCTGCCAAGGACAGCCTTGGTGTGCGTCATTTAGAGCTAGAGTTGCAGGGGAATTGGCTCATAGATAAGGAAATGTAGCAGCGATTTTCAGCCTTTTTCATCTCATGGCACATATAAACGAATGACTAATTCTGTGGCACACCAAAAAATATATTTTTGCCAATCTGACAAAAAAAATGAGTAAAATTTTGATTCATTCACACCAGACAGCTATTGTTTTGTTGGCTTTTGTCATTTTTTAATTTGACAATCTAAAATAAAAGAGGTCAGTGCCCCTGACTAAATACGTAGTCAGGTTTGCATATTTCAAAAATTCTTGCGGCACACCAGTTGAAAATCGCTGTGCTAGAGTGAGGGAGGGGAGAGCCCAGAATAGCAGTAGTGTGTCAAGGTTAACAACCTGGACATTTGGATTCTATAACAGACACTGTTGGTTGCACACCTCATACCTATTCCCTACCCCGTCTTCATTTTTCCTAACAGAACCTTAATTTCATTCTGCCAAACAGCCAGCAACGTCAGGGGAGCTTGGAGCCAGCCTTATGAATGAGTCTAGATTAGTCTAAGCCCATCACAGTGGTCCCATACTTCTTGCCAGTGATAGGCTAGCATAAGTTTGTGGCACTCTGGAAATATGAAAGGAAGTCTAGGATGAGGGAGGGTCCGAGGAAGAGTTTCTTTGCTCTTAAAAAAGATGCACAACAAATTAAAAAGAAAGAGATGGACAAGAAGGAATGATGCCTTTTCCTGCCTCTAGAAGTTCTGTGGATGTGATGATGGAACTTGGGCAGGCATCGTGAAACCTTATGGAAAGCTAAACTAATCTGGGGACAAAGCCTGAATACACTAAGGGTGGGTGGTAGAGTAGACAGGCCTGGGTCCTTGATGGTAATGTAGAGCCACTGATTTAACTAACCTTTTTATGTGAAATAACTTCATTATTAAGGTGACTTTAGTTTTTCTTTTACTTAGAACCAAAGGCTGATGCATTAAAACAAACAAACAAACAAAAATGCCCCACCTGCAGTGGAATGAGCATTGTCCCATGGACTGAGAGGTCCTGGTACAATTCCTGGCCAGGGCACATGATTGGGTTGCAGGCTCGATCCCCTAGTAGGGGGCATGGAGGAGGCAGCCAATTAGTGCTTCACTCTCCCTCTCCCTTCCTGTCTCTCTATAAAAATCAATTAAAAATCTATATATGCCTGACCCCATCTACATTTTGGGGGGAATTAGTGCTCTGATATTTATTTATTTTGTTTGTTTTGTTAATCCTCACCTGAGGATATTTTTTCCATTGATTTTTAGAGAGAGTGGAAGGAAATAAGATGGATGCTAGTGCCCACCCAGTGTGGCTCAGTGGTTGAGTGTCAACCCATGCACCAAGAGGTCACCGGTTTGATTCCTAGTCAGGGTACATGCCCAGATTGTGGACCTGGTCCCGGGGCAGGGCGGGGGGGCATGCTGGAGGCAGCCAATCGATGTTCTTTCTCATCAATGTTTTTATCTCTCTTCCTCTCCCTTTCTCTCTAAAATCAATAAAGAAAAATTATTTAAAAAAAAAAAAAAAGGTTGGTAACATGCAGAGTTGATAGTCCTTCACGTTAGGCAATCTTATAAAAGTCAGAACCAAAACAAGACTGATCACTATCACCTTTATATTCAACATTATTCTAGATGGTCTAGATAGTGCATGAAATAAAAATAATAAAGAATCATAAATGTTTCGAAACATTTTATCTGCTTAACTATAAAACCCTGAGAAGCCACTGAAAAACAATGGCAACTAATAATAGTACTGTAAGATGGCTTATTACATGAAAAATATATTTAAATGTCAATAGCTTTCTTATTAACCAGCATTACCAGTGAGATGACACATTGGAGGACTTCTAGTTCCAGCATTATGACAAGATAGGTGTTCTTCACAGGAGTTATTGAAAGTAAATCAACTATATATGGTATAGGTCACTGTGTTTGTTTTTCAACAATTTTACTAGATTCTAATCCCTAGAGCAATCACTAAGAAATTGACTAAATCATAAATTTAAAAAAAAAAAAAAAACAGGAAAATTAGAATAGTATGCTAAAAAATATATATATTTTTAATTCTCACCCAAGGATATTTTTCCATCTGTCCTCAGATAGAGTGGGAGGGAGAGAGAGAGAGAAACATCAGTGTGAGAGCAACACATCGTCTGGTTGCCTCACACACGACCCCGACCAGGGCCAGGGTCAGGGACTGAACCGCAATCAAGTTACATGCCCTTGACCAGAATCGAACCCACAAGTCTTTGTCCTTGGGCCAACGTTCCAACTGCTGAGCAAAACCAGCCAGGGCTAAAAATACTTATTTAAACCAAAAGAAGGTAGCAAAGGAGGAACAGAGGAATAAAACAAAACAAAGCAAAAAGGTCATGAGACAAAACCTGCATATGATTTTTCATAGGAGCATCATTCATAACAATTCAAAAATGGAAACAACTCAAATGACCTTCAACTGATGAATAGATAATCATGGTATATTCATACAATGAAACATTATTCAGCCATAAAAAGAATAAAGTACTTGTCAACCAATGGTTGTTGGTGCCAATTCAACGCCAACAGGAATGCCAAATTTGGGGTGCGGTGAAAAAGGAAACTTTATTCAGTGCAAACAGCTCGATAGTGTTACAGCTCAATTATGAAGCAGTACAGCTGTGAAACAGGCACAGCTATGATGTGGCCCTGGAGAAAGGCAACCCTGGGGAAGATGGCTCTTGGCCAAGCCCCCTCTCTGGCTAGACAGCTCTGCTCTGCTCCACTCTGATTTGGCAAGATATCTTTGGTGTTTCAGCTCCAGCTAGGGAAATGTGGTCTTCAGTCTTTGGTAGAAAGAGAAAGTGAGCCACAGGGGAGCTGACTTATATAGAGAGAAGTCCTCACCCCTGATCCCTGATTGGTTCATCCTCTTGCAAATGAAGGCTCCAAATCCTCACCTGAAGTTTGATTGGTCCAATGGCACTATCCTGATTAGTCATAATGGAGCCATTCTGATTGGTCAGTAAAGATGCTGTTGAGGATATAGCTGCATAGCTCCAACTGGATGGAGTAAGTCTCAGTCCTACTGGTTGAAAT